AATGCAGCAATGTATGATCAATACAAATAGTTATTTCACTGGCATCACTGATTATCGGGCTTGTATCTGAAAGCGAGGTGCCTGGTTATGTTACTGAGAGGCACAAGTTCAGTCTGTGTACAGGGAGTCAGGGTGGCAAGGGTAAGATTCATTTTTCAGTGGGTGTTTGACGTTAGAGTGCTGGGGGATATATGGGTAGGGGGATGGGGGGAAGGCAATGCAGAGATAAACCTCATTTTTGAATTCTAATCAAGTTGATTTAATGAGTGTAGGCAGCTGTGGGATCATGAGGCAGTGGGTGAACTCAGTGGGGGAGGCTATTTCTGTCATGATCTGAAACTTTTTTATTATTTTGTTTCTTGAAGTTGTATTTCAACAAGTTATGTTTAAAGATTTCATTTTTATTGCTGACTTTAGGACTCTGTGAGAGAGGGGGCAAGTTCAGCAGATTGGGCTTTGATGTTGCAGGGCCTCACTTGTTTTTAGGGATCTCTGATATATAAGAGTTGCTTTTGCTGATGTCACATTTTTAACTGCCTGTATTCCAAAAGGAAGATTATCTGATATTGGTTCAAAAATCAGGAATTAGCGAAAATGAAAATTTGCACAGATTAAGGTAAATGACGAGAGAGGTTGTCCATCTTGTCTAACCTTGGTTAGGCCCCACTTGGACACTGGGAGCAGACCTGGGCACCACACCTTAGGAACACATATTGACCTCGGAGGGAATACAACATAGGTTTACAAGAATGATACTTGGACCTAAGGGGTTAAGACATAGATAGGTTCTTAATTAGTTAGGGGATCAAGGGTTATGGGGAGAAGGCAGGAGAATTGGGCTGAGAAACATATCAGCCATGATTAAATGGTACAGCAGAATGATGGGCTGAATGGCCTAATTCTGCTCCTATATCTTATGGTCTGTTGGTACATGGTGATGTGTTGAAATGACAGGCAACCGGAAGCTCAGGGTCATTTTTGCGGACAGAACATAAGTGTTCTACAAAGCAGTCCCCAGTGTAGAGGAGACCACATTGTGAGCAGCGAATGCAGTTGGCTAGATTGAGTGATGTGAGGTAAAGCGCTGCTTCATCTGGAAGGTATGTCTGGGACCTTGGATCCTGAGGAGGGAGGAAATAAATGGGCAGGTGTTACACCCTCTGTGGTTGCAGGGGAAGGTGCCTCGGGGCTGTGGGGGAATGTTGGGAGTGAAGGAGGAGTGGACCAAGGGATCCCGGGGGGAATAGTCCCCTGTGGAACGCCAACAATGAACGAGAAGGAAATATGTGTCTGGCAGTGGCATCTAAAGGTGACGGCCATGGCAGTTAATGATTCTCTGGATGTGGATGCTGGTGGCATGGGAAGTCAGTACAAGGGGGACCCTACCACTGTTGTGGGATGGGGGGGTGAGGGCTGAAGTACAGGAGATGGGCCAGACCCAGCTGAGGGCTCTATCAGCTGTGGTGCTGGGGAATCCTCAGTTGAGGAAAAAGGTGGACATTTCTGAGGCCCCTCTACAGAAGGTAGCATTATCAGAACAAATGCAACAGAGGTGGAGACTGCTGACATCAGTCTTATTTTTCCCTAATTCAAATGTTCTCTCCTTGTCCTAAAAACCTGGTTTTGATTGAAATGCAATCTCAGGATTGCTCTGTCCATTTGGTCTCAGTACCTCCTTTAAGAGTGAATTGTCTTTTCAACGATTGTTTTAAATATGCAATTTCAAACATTTCAAACCTTTCCCCATTTCCCTGTGCCATTGACACAGGACACCTGCCCAGAGGAGCCTTCTCTGCATCGTTCCCAGGGACCAGGCTATTTCTCAATGACTGAGTGACCAATTCCAAGAAACAAACTCCAACTGGCTTCAGAGCAAAGCCCCAAGTAGTTTCAGTTTACCATCAGTTTCTTGTCTACAGAGCTGGAGGCTGCTGAACTAGATCAGCTGTTTCCATCATTACAACAGTGGCTGTAGTTCAACACCCACTTCATTGGCTGTAAAGCTCTTTGGGTCATCAAAATAGATGCCAAAGCAATGCAATACCTTTCATCTTTATTGTTTTTTCCTTTGTTAATTATGGCTCCACAGTGTGAAACTGAAAGGTGTAATCACTAGCAGACTTCCCTCAAGTTCCAAATGTTTTGTTCAATATCATTCATTATGTAAAGTAATTCCATGTATTTTAATCATCGATTGTGTCAAGCTTTATGTTTATCTATGCTGAATTAAATCAATGAGAGGTCTGTCACTTGTATCTGTTGTGCAGATCCTTCTGCTACCTCAGGGCAACATCATCAATCTCCATCACTCTCTCAAGTTTACTCCAAACACAATTGTGACCAAATTACATTTATAAACCTGAAGCAGTCTTTTAAGCTGAACTTTAGAGTTTGAACTGAGGCCAAGTCTGCCTTCTGAGGTCAATGTAAAAGATCCCATGATCACCGTTTCAGGGATTGACAAAAGAACACAAGAACAAGGAGCAGGAATAGACCATTCAGCCCATTGAACCTGTTCTGCCATTCATGATGGCAGATCCTCGGCTTCAATTCTACCGTCTTGTTCATTTGCCTGTCGCATAAATCTCTGAGAAATCGAGAGTCTGTCCATCACATCCTTCAGGGTAATCATCAGTGAAGTATCCGGAATATGATTACCCCTCAGGCACACTGGCCTGGTTGAATCAAACAACTTGAGCCAGTCTAATATATTCTGCATATTTCGATATGATTACTGGCAGATTATCCCATCATGATCTCATTACTGGTTGTGGGGACTTGCTGTGTGCCAATTAACTGCCAAGTTTCCTCACATTTCAAAGGTGATTTCAATTTTTTTAAAAAACTGTTTCATTGCTTGGAAAGCAAATTGGGACATCCTGACATGGGAAAGTTGCTATATGGATGCAAGTTATTTTGATTTCCCCCTTTGTCTTCTTGATCTCACATTTCACTTAATGAAATTTTCCACTTTGTTTAGAATATTCAGATGTGCTTTCAGAGAATATTTTTGTTCTGTGTTCACCATCATTTACAGAGTTACATTCGCAAAGAGAAAGTGCGGGTCATTACTCATTGATTCCATTGGCTGCCAGATAATGGTGTCAGTCTGATGGGTCAGCAGTTATTTGACTTACCTTCATCAGCTTCCTTTTATAATTTTATTTATTGGTGGTATGCGGGTATCTCTGACTGGGCCAGTGTTTATTACCCATCCCTAATCACCCAGGAGAAGGTGGTGGGAAGCTGCCTTCTTGAATTGTTGCAGTTCTTGGGCTGTATCAATGTTCTCAGTGTTAACCCACAGTGGGAGAGTGTCAAATCCTGACCATCATCTTCCCTTTCAGCATCCTTCGTAATGTAATAATCAGTATTATGTCACCCACAACCTTCACTAAAGACCCCCGGTCTGTGCAGCCCTTATTTCAAATATAACGTTGAATCGCAAGCAGTTAAGGAATACAATCACTATTTAGTTGTTAGACATTTAACAATTAATAATAATATATTGTTCATATCAACAACGATGTTTTATTGCATAATTTCACCGATATTGGTGTGGTTTCTGTATTAGAATGAACTCCATGTCAATATTTCTAATCGACCTATTCAGGTTATGACACATCTCTGGAGCAGGTGGGATTTGAACCCTAGCCTCCAGATAGATACACTTGCCCTGCTCCACTTGCTTAATGACAAGGTACAGCTTTAATCTGGCCTCTTCTTCTTAATGGTTCTAAATCGATTCCTCTTTCTGAACCAAATATCTGCAGTGAATACAGAAAACAGCATCCAACTCCTTCATTATTTTTACTGTCACTTTTTCAGAACAGCAGTTCTGGAAATGTAAATGTTGCTCAGGATTTCTCCTGATGATTGCTGCTATTATTTATTATCCAAGAATTCCTTTGCTAAACCTGCCTTCCATTCTCTCTCTCCTTGTCCATAAAGCTCAGCTCTTTGGCCAAACCAGTGAACACTCGTCTTGTTATTTCAAATAAAAGCAAAATGCTGCAGATGCTGGAAATCTATAACTATAGAAAATGCTGGAGAATCTCAGTATCTGTGGAAAGAGAAACAGAGTTAATGCTTTGGGTCCAATATGACTTGGCCTTTTATCTCCTTTGATTTCCTGTGGATTTTTGTATACTCCTATGAAGCACTTTAGATGTTGTCTCAGGTCAAAGGTGCTCAGAGATGAAAGCTGTTGTTGTAGCAAGGTTAGACGGACGGGTCTATGGTTGGATTTGCTCCCAGGCCGCCTGCAGTAGGAGCATTTTGTACAAGAACATTGGAAATAATTCTACTCCTTTCAGCCTGAGGCTCAAATCAACCACTTGGGGCAAAGGAACAGCCTGGATGCAGCTGGCTCTGTTGACCTTAGAGGCATCCAGGGACAGTAAGCATTAGCATGTGAATCATTCCTCGTCCCTCACACTGAAATCTGTACGTATAGCATATCTGACACACTGGGACTTATAGCAAAGTCTCCTGAGTGAGAAATTAAACGTGATGCTGAAATTGAAACTAATTTACCAAATGTTATCGTAGAATGAATATAAAAGATTTACAGTTACAGTTTGCAAAGATTTTATCTCAGTACTGTTAATGGCAATGTTCCAGAAACTGTTGCACAGGAATGGCCAGGTACAGGTGGGAAT